ATGAAGTACTGAAGTTAGAAATGCCCACCACTCCTCAGCAGCTTCAGGATCTGACCAATGACATTCGTGACCGAGTGGAGAGTCTGTCAGATGTGGAAGTGATTCTAAACCAGAGTGCTGCAGACATTGAGCGGGCTGAAGCATTGTTGGATGAAGCCAGGAAAGCCAAGTGCGACATTCTTTTTGCTTAAAGTTTAAGCTATTAGATGCTAATTAATTAAAAATATTTGCCTCCTTTAGAACTCATTTGAGTTCACCAACTTGTCCTTTCATTTTAATACTATATATTAGCTATATTCAGTGGGTAATGACATATTTCTTAAATTCAGAATGATTGATTTTAGTAGTCTTTAAGGTTTCTTTCTACATTTTCACTCATCAGTATCCATAAATAGTTGCTGTTGCCAGTAATTAAAAATATGAAATTCCATATTATAATGGAAATTAGATTGTTCAAATCACCAGGTTTAATTTTCTCCAATTAAATTATGAATTTTACTTTAGAGGCTGATCATATTAACGTGGCTACTTCTGTGTTGTAGAATTCATGCAACAGATGTTAAAGTTGCAGCTGATCGTGTGAAGGAGGCCTTGGATGAAGCAGAAAAGGCGCAGAATGCAGCTGTAAAAGCTATTAAACAAGCTAACGAAGACATTGACGGGACAAAAGACCTTCTGACCTCAGTATGTTCCTATTTAGATAAGATAGACTTCGGTTGCAAGGAATATCCAAATAGTAGAGGTTCAGATGTCCGTATTCTTCCTTTGTCCTCTGCATATAGGGAAGCTATGTAATGATTTAATAATTTTGACTTTGTATATGCTTTTAGTTTCTGATGTTACCTTTAATCTGCGGTAAAATTGACGGCCACCACCACCCCCCCCCCCACCAAACAAAAGTCCTAACCCAAGACATTCATCCTAAACCATTGGAACTGAATTGTGTGTAATATATATATTTTGTTGTCACTCTCTCCCTTCCACATCCTCACCCCTGAAAATCCTGTCATACTGTTTTAGTTCAGACTTTGGTACTTGGCTCAGGTTTCCATTCTTCAACTATGAACTTGGCATCATGAGCTGTTCAAGTCTAATGGGTATTACAGGAGGACCATCCCTCAGCTAATGTTTTGACGTGCACACTTTTTATGGAAAGATTACAAGACTGAGTGATGTGAAGCAGGAATCCTCTACACTCATACTGCAGTGCCCTAGCTAAGTTAGCTCACTTGATTCAAACCAGGAACTGGAGATTTTCCTGTTCTGTACAGCACCAAACAAGATGTTGCATTTAACGACCATACCGTGGGGAAAAGAATTAAAAACCTATTTTTCAACAAGTAGTTGGCTAAAAACATTTAGCAATGCTTTGAATATGGCTGTGGATTCAAAACTATTTCACTTGTATTCTGTTCAAGTTCTTTTCTAAAATTGCATTTAATGGTTGAAAAATTCTGTTGTAGTTGTCAAGCAGCCCTGATGCCTTCACCTGACAGTTGTGAGTTTATAGCTAACCCACAGCAATAAAGCATTAAGGTGCTAATGTCATATGCTTTGAACTACTCTGTACCGGTTTATGTTTCATGATAAAATGCCAGCATTTCACCCATTGCCTACAGCTGTATCGCCACGTACATCAACAAAATGGTCCATGATAAGTCTAAGTTAAAGCAGCCCCTGTGATTAGATCAAAGACCTGGAACAAAGTTAACCATTACAGTTTCCTAAGTGCATATTTGTTTGACAGAGAATGCACAGCACAATCTGTTGCAGTTAGACTGGTCTTTTATCTCTCTCTGTCATCCTTGGTTATAGCACATTTTTGTCTGTTTCAGTAGTCCAGTCATGCTCGTAGATGGATGCCTGTTTGTTTAAACTTATCATCTAAATGAAATGTAAAGCAAATGCATTTGAAAGTAAAGAAAGTAGCAGCTTTAATTCAACCATTGAGAATTGAAATGTCTGTGTGTGTAGATGTATTGCAAATCAATTTACTGCTTTCAAGCCATGAAACTTGAGAAACTGCAGTTGGCTAGTATGT